TGTTAGTTTTCACCACATGATTTTAATATCAATTTATTACATAATGTGCAATAAATGTCCAGAATTCTACATCAGAGAAATCGGAAGAAAATTGGAAACCAGATTCACCAAACATAATAAAAACACATACCATACTTGATGGCAAGGTTTTGTTGAAGTCTATGAGATAGCTTAAGTTTTAGATATTTTATGTTTTACTGCCATTGCAACTCAAAAAATACACAGTATATCTGCACAAAACACTGTAATTTTAAACAAAGAGCCAAACATCGGATGCTATGTATCTTAACTGAACAAAACAGCACCACTCTAAATCAAAATTTCACCTTGCAATTTGGATCCTTTGATCTCAGCTCTGAAAAGGAACCATTCCACAAATTTAAAAGAACCAGTAAAGAAATAAGACTAAATATCTGAACTAAATTATTCCTAGAATCAAGCCAATACCTGATAAGGTAATTCTCTCTCTGAATACAAATACTACATAAAATGTAATATGTTGCATTAAAACAATTTCAAGCTGACTAAAAATTCTCTGATTTCCATGTTTCATTTATTTTGTTACTTTCTTCACAACTTTGGCCTATATCAACGTACATGTCACGTTTCTATATCAACACTTTGAGCCTTCTTCTTCTTCCTCACAGTGACTTCCTGTTCTCAGCTTGCAACATTCGCTGCTTTCCCAAATGCCTTGAGGACTTCATTAGCCATGCTTACCACTCAGATTAGTCAAGTCTGTTACTCAACAAATCACATGTTAATAATCTTCACACTCCACTAGTAAATACTAATCAAGTTACTTAACATCTTGGCCACTAGCTCAAAATCTACTACATTCACTAAAAGAATAAACCCTAATTCTGCAAGTGGGGTGAAGACAAACAACAGTTTCTGACTGCCCCTGGTTACCTTTCCGGACTTGAAAGTTCTTAAACCAAAATACCTACATGTATGTACCAAGGTGTTTCACTTGAATACCTTGAGGTACCATAATATATATATATATATATGC